CTCCAATGTGCTCGCTCTGTTTGGGCCAGATAGTGCCTCCGCAGGTTTCGGCCACTTTGCTCGCTCTCGGGCTCTTGACGGTGTTTTGTGCGCATCGTGCGTCTGACGTGGATGCATTCAGTGACTCATCCTAAGGCGTAAAAGAGGATTTGAGGGAGTTGAAGCATCAGTTTTCATAATTGCATATGCTGAGTGCAAAAAACCACACGGGACACAAGAACCAAATATGTGGACATATCTCGGAAATGCAGGAGTAAAGAGATCGATTGATCGACATTTATGAGGGAGAGAATTGGCAACAGGTTAGGTGTGTAACAGGAGAGATCGGGGATTAAACACTCGAAACATCTGTGATTTGGTTTTCTGAAATCCAAAGACAGTATTCGACGGCTATATGAAGCTATAAGCGACTCGGGGAGGTAGATTGAAGTCGAATAGCTCGAAAGTCGGTCGCAAATTATTACCTACGTAGACGGTTCTGCCATGAGCTGGTTGGCCAACCTTGCTAAGATTAGGACTTATCTGCTATCCTGCGTAGGACATTCGAAAAAACTAACAATCTACCTTAAGGACAAACACCAGTTTACGTGTTTTGTGGAGTGGACTTGTCGTACTTGCAAAAACTATCGCACAAGATTGAAAAAAGACAGGCAAAATAAACCAACGTAGATTACATCTCACCAGTGTCATTAAATGGAAAGGGGTCGCAAAGGGCGATATCGGTCGGTGATGCAAAACAATACAGTGGAACCTCGGCTAACGAGTTTTTTTCCGTTCCGGAACCGAGCTCGTCATGTGAAACGTTCGTCTTACAAAACGTAGCCAATCAAATTGGCTACAGGTGACCGAAGACCCAGGCTCTGGAAGCAAGACTCAACGGTGGACACAGGCACACACACACACACGCACTAACATCGCGGTAACTGAGCGAAAGCTCGCAAATCGGAACAAACTGTCTGCCAGTGGATCACTCGTTACCTGAATTGCTTGTATATGGGGCTGCTTGTCACCTGAGGCTCAATTCTATATCAAGGTTGAAAGGAAGGAAGACCTAGAGGTTATGTATCTTCCTACAACGCATGAAGGTTTCCGTCTCTCCACTTTCGATATCAAAAGATAAGGCCAACTAATACATATGTGTACACCGATCATATGCAGGGCACACCTGCCCTGGTGTTTTATGCCTTTCAGCTGTCATGGGTGGATGTGATCACACAACCGTTTGCCAAATGACTAAGTATACGTTGCTTACTACATTTCAGTAACATATTTTTTATGTGTAA